CCGCGATGAAAAAAACCCCGCGAAATCGGAGATCAAACGATTCACTAAATTCACCCCAGCGCTTTGGCTGAAAAGTGGTTTCAACAGGTGAGCTGAGCTGCGCTGGGCTGCGCTCATAGCACATGCGCAGTGAAAAAGGTTCGCGGAGCTTGGAAGCGGGATGTCCGGATTATAAGGGCGTGAGCAGAAGTAGTCAATCAAAACAAATAGTAAATAATCTACTCATTACATAAAAGAACCTTGTTAGGATCTAGATCTACTCAGCTATGTGTCAACCAGGGGGGCGTTTGACATTTCAAGACGGAAAACCTTCGCTGGCGGTGAATACTCGGTGAAGGCTTTGATGTGAGCTATTTTTCTAATGTTTTGTTGATATTTCACAGGCGCTTTTTATATGTTATGACATTAGATTACCGATTTAACTGTTCACTATATGTCACCACACGTCCTTCTTACCAAGTCACTTTCTCAGTTCGATACTTAAAAGCAGTGTCATTATTTAGCGTTGACAGAATTTCTAACTGTGATATAGATATGTCGTTGTCACAGACAAAACTCGATGTCTGTTTTATTGACATCTATGTGTCTGCCTGCCTGTCTGCTAATGACAATATTCAATACACAACTTCGATCACTGACCTCATGCTCACCTATCAGGCTATACACCATAAACAAAACGCATTGATTTATGGCCCGAGTTCGGCCTGTCACATTATGTAATTACACAGACAGGCAGGTGTGATACTTGTACACATGACATGATATGATGTCTGTTGATTGCAAAATGCTATACGCAAAAAATGAGCATGTAATTACAAAACCCAACATCTGTATACACACACACACACACACAATGAGCCGTGAGGGCATCGGCAAATGAACCTGCCGTTACACTTGAGTGCACCCCGACCCGCTCTGACTGGGTTCGGTATCCCGGGTGCTTCGTTTCGAGGGAAGTAAACCCAAGTACAAATTATGATTGTACGCTTATAATTTTGTTTATATGTTTTTTCATAATCAGCAATGTATATTATATGTAATGAATAAGTGATAATTGTGTTTCAATTATGTTTGATTTTTTGTTGCATGTGACCTTTAAGCTGAGATACTTTCGTTTATTCAAAATGCAACTTCAATGAGGTTCTTTTTATCCCTCATTTCCAATTTTGTAGATGAAGGAAACCTATTTGAAACGTTATAGTCTGTATTTGGTTACTTGAAAGATGTTGTATATTTTATAAGTGATCTCCTTCTACCTCTAAACAGAATGATCCACGCTGTCGACTGGAAGTCCACTTTGGTATCTGCTGCTGGTGGAACTCCGGGTGAGGAGATTCTTGAATATGCCCCCTAATTTCACAAGAATGGCAAAGACAAATGATTATGTAGTAACTGCAAAGAGTTTATAAGATAACTGTATTTTGTTTCATACTTGTTTTGAAAGCAATCAGCAAGATACTTCGAATGTTTATATTCCTTTCATTGTATGTGGACACAGAAACTACCATTGATGGAATGAGTCAGTGGGAGTCTATTCGAAATGGCCTCCCCTCTTCAAGGACAGAGTTCATCTACAACATTGACTACTTTGAAGCTGCATTCGAAGGGCATGCTGGAATTAGGTGATTTAGCAGTTTAGATTTCATGCGCCAAGCTGTCAGAATTGTCTGTGTGACATATTACGACGATTTGTACATTTACATTAAGGGCTTACGACATATGTACTGGCAAACAAGGATAAGTTGAGCACCGACCTGACAATTGACCCGTGTTATCATGTATGAGTGCCGCCCACTGGCACTTGCCATTGTGAGCGAAGGGGCCCCTGGATGTCCATGATCAAGTGTAGTGCTACACCGACCACGTACGTGAGAGTCTTATGAGCAAGGCGTGTGCAGCTACGCGCGGAATCAATTTCATCGCCATGTACTGCACGTGCACTAGCCTACATCTGCTCTACCTTTCACAAACCAAATGGGTTTGCTCATTGCCGAGCACCGCCTACTTCTTCATAAACGCGTTCTCTGCGCCAGTCCAACTTATCCTTGCTTGCCAGTAATATCACATGCAACTTACTTCACCGGTAATCGTAAAAACAACCCAAAACATATTGAATGTTTGTGAATCAGAGTAGGAGACTACAAGCTAATCCTGGGGTATCCTGGAGCTTTTGACGGCTGGCACAAACCCATGAACAGTACGGAGGATGAAATCTTTGAAGAACCAGTATAATACACGGGAGATGAACCTGTCCAGCTGTTTAACGTTCGAGGTATGTAATTAACACACCTTGTAGCCAATGTCCCCGTCTTTTCTAAACGTGAACACACCATGCTACTAGCACGCATATTCTTGGATAATTAACTTATTGCGTGTTTGGTTGGTATGCATGGTTATGTTTGATCCACAATTGTATACATTGAATTCCTAGTACAACCCGCATTTACCGATGTTTATCATCATCCCATTATAACTTAACTAAACCGTTCCCAAGAACACTGACTGTTTCGAAAATGAATGTAATATCGCAGTAAACGCATACAGTTTACAAACTTGCGTTTACCTCAACAAATATTTTGATACTCATGCAGAGGATCCTACTGAGCACAAGGACCTTGCACAGAAAACGCCGGACATAGTGGCAAAGTTGCGAGCCAGGTTTGAGGAGTACAAGAAAACGATGGTGCCAGCCAATTATCCCGAAGGAGATCCTGCATCTTATCCAAGCAATTTTGGAGGTGTTTGGAGCCCAGGGTGGTGCTAGATAGACAGATTTATGTCAAGATAGTGACCATAATGTACTGCTTAAACTGTACTTTGTTTGCACATAATAAACGATGATATGTCACAAATCCACATTAATCATACTTCATAATACATTGCTGTCTAAAGCCATAGCCAGATTTAGCGTGTGTAGCAAATGACTGATGAAGACCTTAACTACAGCATAAACCAAATTCTGCCAATATATTTTCGGCCAATAGTTCCAAAAGACGTTTAGCAAAATAACAATCAATGGGCTAAATGTAACATTTTGAAAGTCCAACAACATTTGTATGACACAAAATGCACATTACTTCAAGATACAGACAACTACTCATGTTTGTTGGTTTACCCACAAAGATTTACCTCTTCAACCACAACATTGAGTTTAGCGAGTCTTCAATCCTGTAGTCTTTTCTACCATGTGTGAATTGCCCCTGAGGGGTTCGTATTTATTGCCAGTTAGGATAGAGCCCGAGAAACCAATGCAAGTATTAAAGGAAAAGTATTGTTGTCAATTTAAGTTCCGTATACAAATGAATGGGAGGCTGGATTCGAATACTGTACTATAAATAACCAAAGACCCAAAGGATCATTCCTTCCCTGCTGGGACACCTAACTCAATTGCCAAATACAAATGTACTCTCAACGCTAAGTAGTCTTCTTCAGGCAACACAGGTACTCTCCACTAATGATAAAAATATCCAGGTTTCGCATTTAGTAAGACATGTAGATTTATGAGAAAATAAGGAGGACTGGGTGTCACGTGACAATCAAAGAGACATTTGGTGGACATTTGTGAAGGTGCATACGTCCACAAAAGACGAAAAATATGAACCTTCGAGGTGGCCTGACTAAAGGATCATGCGAAACGACATGGCATGAATCGAATCAATCTCCAGAAAATATTAAGAGGTGCCTTATCCACTCTTCTTGCAGCTTCTAGTCGTTTCATGCCAGGGACGTTTTGCTGCCGGATGTAGCCAGTTACGGCATGTGCCTCATGGACACGAGTGTGACCGTCTTAAAATAGAAACGTGAGTGAGTGAGTGAGTTACTATTTAACGTCACATCGGCAATATCTCAGACATATCGTGACGAAAACAATTCATACAATAAAAAGTGGAAACATTTTGAAGATTAAAACCTGTCGACGATGGACAGTAAAAAGACTAGAGAATCACAGATTTAAATATAAACTAGCGAGCAAAGTTAATATATTCCAATCAAAGAAGACAATACAGTATAAAATACGGGCTATAGATCGCCAACAACTGAAGGTAGATCACCATACTAGGGCCCATGGGGACTTACATTACGTTTGCTACCTGCATGAACCCCAGCTGGATTTACAGCATCCCTTCAGCCATTGGCGTTGATGCTTAGATTTAGCCATACATTAAAAACACAAAAAACTACGATTAAAAACCTGGTACACTTAAATTGACTTGAAATGTTTTGGGACTTATGTACCCTCGCAGGAGGACAATAAATTTACGCTACTTCAACCCCCTTTGAGGGTACAGTCACTTACAATCTCAGTTACTCATTCAAACTACCAATAATAAAATATGTATCTATTTATAAATCAACTTAACAAATCTAATTCTTTTAAAAATGCAATAATTAAATGAGAACTGACATTATTAAAAAGATTCTTCATAGTTAATTTTGAAATAGTAAGAAAGAGAAACGTGGTCCAGCATGACGCACATGTGTCTCTGTGTAATCTCGAGTGATCCTTTCATGGACAATGTGCAATGGCGTTCATTTTCAAAGATGATCCTTCTTCTGACTACTGATTAAAGCGCTAATATCCTATGATATCCTCCGTTTTAATATGTGTAATGATTCCCTGCTATCCTTTGACTTGAGAACAGGCCCAGAATATCCTACTGAATATGTATTGCTTGAACATACTGTAAGTCTCCACATTTTTCCCTTTTGAAAGAGTGCAAATGTCCACAACAACAATGGCCGCATGTTTTCTTTATCTAACATAATTGTATGTCGCAGTGGTGGTTACCCGTCTGGAGACTGGTGAGAGAACTGAAGAGAAAAAATGGTTAAATTTTACATGAAAATTGTACGAAATGTACATCGTTTGCCAAATGTCATTTAAACTGTATAAACGTTTCTTTCGTCATTGTGACTGAGCAATGAATTTCACAAATTCCTGAGTATGCAGGTCAGGTCTGAGATATAGATAGGCTTTATCAGTACAGGCTTCTAAAACACTACGTGTAGGCAGATAATATAATGCAGTCTCATTTCTGTTGAATAAGCAAACGTGATGGGGGTTCGACAGCTCCTAGCTCTGTTCCTGTCTTTCGTATCACTGTCATCGGCACAGCGTCCTAACATCGTTTTTATTGTAGCAGATGATTTAGGTGAGAGTTAACATTGGCGGCGCGCGAACTGCAAACTTAAATTATATGTCACTCTCAATGTGTCCTATTGCAAAATAATGATATTACTACCGTACTATATGAACAGTGTTTTCAGGGAAATCTCTGTGTTTGCGCAGGCTGGAATGATGTTGGTTTCCGGAACCCTGACATGATAACCCCAAACATCGACAAACTGGCTACAGACGGAATCATCTTCAATAATGCATACGTCCAGCCTCTGTGCAGCCCGTAAACTCGTGTTATTGAACTTCACTCTCTTTGTATAAGAAACATACGAGATGTAACAAAATACTTTATCTCACACAAGTCAGGATAAACATTCACATAACCTTCTAGAGTAATTTGACATATATTACAGTTTTTAATTGCCGGCTCAAATGGATTTAAATATTCCTGTACACTGTATATATATATCAAAACAAAGCCCTGCAGAATTATGTTCTTCAGTTGACTATGTAACTCACTATTTCAGATCTCGGACCGCCTTTATGAGTGGAATGTATCCTTTCCATGCAGGCATGCAGGTAATTATGTCGTTTATTTAAAAATATTAGGATATATATATATATAATTGTACATATTATGATACATGTAAGATATCCATGAAAACATGCACTTTGTTATCAGATACATTATCTAGCTATTTAAGGGTAAAATCTTCCACTCATTGTTCGATGGGAACTGTCTGACATTTGTTTAGTCTCACCTTTCACGATTTTGTGTTAAACTTGTCACTTTTTCGTGTTAAATATTGAAAGTTGCTATGCCTGTTTATACATGGATTAATTACCAGTTAGCACCAATTAATTACTGGTTTCCCCTTGTTGTTATCTTATCACTGTTGTTTTACATGTACATATATTATGGGCTTCCAAGGTTTTTTCATTCATCAGATGAAGGCGTAAGAATATTCCCAGAAACATCGTGTTCCTGGACCTAGACTCACGTGTCTATGTGAAAATAGTTTTGAATTTATATCACCTGTGAGCATATAGAAAGGTCTAACAAAGACAGATTCTTATATTCAGCATAAAGAAAGTTCTAACAAAGACAGATTCTTATATTCAGCATAAAGAAAGTTCTAACAAAGACAGATTCTTATATTCAGCATATAGAAAGTTCTAACAAAGACGAATTGTTATTCAGCATATAGAAAGTTCTAACAAAGACAAATTCTTATATTCAGCATATAGAAAGTTCTAACAAAGACAAATTCTTATATTCAGCATATAGAAAGTTCTAACAAAGACAAATTCTTATTCAGCATATGGCACTAAACCGTGACCAGACAGTGTGTGTGCCCCTCAACTATACATTCCTCCCCCAGGAACTAAAGAAACTCGGCTATGCAACGCACATAATCGGAAAGTAAGCATTATACTACACAACGGCACGAAAACCGTATTAGATATGCAAGGAATAATAAAAACAAAGATGTACAATGGATGCAATACTTAAATCTTTATTTGATCTTTCTCATGGATTGTTGTCATTCTATATGAACGTAAGTGGATTCATTCATGTATGCTATCGTGACTTCTGGGTTTAAAGGGCGGGGGCAGTTTCCAGATACCCCGAAGAACGCATCTGAGTACCCTCACTGTTATTTTGAAGCTTCTTAATTGTCATGAGCACTATTATTTCAGATGGCATCTTGGGTATTGCAAGTGGGAGTGCACTCCAACGTACCGAGGCTTTGATACTTTCTTTGGTTATTATAATGCCGCTGAAGACTACTTCACTCACTCTACTGGTGGGTATGATTCTACTTGGTAGTATTGCATCTTCCATTGGTTACGTGTATTTAAAACATTCACGTTGAACCGTGATGTATGATAGTTTAAGCAGATGTTGAATTGTTAAAATATTTCATTTTCTTTCATCAGGGGATAACTTGGACTTCAGGGATAATAAGCTTCCAGCAAGAAACTATACTGGAGAATATTCTGCTGTAAGTATTATGCAGGTTGACACTGCACAAACCTCAGCTTACAATTGTTTTACTTATCACGATTATATTTTAAAAATGCACATATTCTGTGATATATGAACTTCCCAAGGGAGTCCTTTCTTTTTCGGCCATTGCATTAGTTGATATTTATCATGTATTTCAGAACACATTTGGCCAGAGAGCCGTTGACATCATCCATCGTCATGATGTATCACAGCCGCTGTTTATGTACCTCCCGTATCAGAGCGTACATGCTCCTATTGAGGTAATGAAAGGCTCTGTTTTGATATTCCGCACCTGTTTGCGTCGACATCCTTTCCGGAAACAGGAAGTCTGTTCTCACTTTGTTACCAGTTCAATTTGTGTTGACGCTGTTTTCTGAGGAGCCCCATATATGTCTGTTTTCACGATTGAATAAATTCCGTACAAAATCAGTGATACATACATGACTGATTAGAAGTAGATACAGATTAATTCATGAAAAAAGTTAGGATGATATCCGTTTGTTGTTTATATGCATTTATCTTACCTCACACATAAATGTCGCCTTCTGATTGGAAATAATCGAAGAGTGCTGAGGCAATGTACCCCGCTTACAAGCGAGTAACATTTCAATGTACCCCGCTGTCAATGGCAACTCATTTGGTACTTCGTGGTAGTAATTATTTATCTCGAATAACACTGAATCACGTATGATGTACGGACATTACCAATGTTTTGCTAATGCAAATCGATGGAAGGGAGATAACTCTAAATCTGTTTTTCTTGTCTGCAAAATCTAGCGATGGCTACAAAACAACTTATAATATATCTACGTTGGATGTTACAGGTACCAAAGAAGTACGAGGATATGTATCCGAATGTGATTAACGAAGGGCGACGAAAGTACAGTGGTATGCACGTTAATTTCTGTCGTTTTCGTTACAATCTATTATCTGTGAAATCTTAGAAAACCATATAAGTAAGTTTGATAAAGACAGAATAACAATATATGGATGACCAACGTCTTTATTACAGTGAGAGCGACGTTTCGATGAAGGTTCTAACACCATTATCAAGCAAGCACTGAAAGCAACGATTCCGTGTAGCTTCTAACACTGTTATCAATTTTGGTCATCATACTTTATGATATTTTTAACCCTCCTTACTGCTCCAACTTCTAAATGCCTCTCAAAGAAGTAGGTTTGTATTACTTCTGACCAGCCTATAGCTCACAAACCGTGACGTACATATGCATCTGTCAAACTGTTTAAAACACGTGTAAACTAAATTCATTTCCAACAGGAATGGTGTCTGCACTGGATGAGGCAGTTGGAAATGTTACCAAAGCTCTGAAGGATCGGGGATTATTTAAAAATACTCTGATTCTATTCACTGCAGATGTAAGTTTAGTTTCAGTGTCAATAGGGGGAACTTAAGATCCATTTTGTACAGAATGATGCTCGAACACAGAGTTCAGTGGAGAGCTTTGTGAATTGTGACTAATTGTAATCAGCCTTACTTGTTCTTTACCTACCTATAACCAACATAATTATATGAGATTTTGTCACTCTGCAAAAGCATTTTTTATTCGTAGTTAATAATGATCAAATCATGGATTCTGCAATTTGATCACGAAAAAGGGAAACACACTCATACAACCATTCAGGTCTTGATTATACATTAGGAATATCATTTATTTTCCATTACAATGGTGCGAATCAGGAATATGTCGAAGAATCACGCTTATCTCATGTAATGACGATGTAAATACATTTTTGGAAAAAATTAGGGTATTTTTTTCTGGTGAGTTATGTTTTATCCAACTGCTATCCATGTCAGACTCCCGTGTAATAAACCTTTCATCATTCAGAATGGAGGCCACCTCCAAGCGTATTCCAACAACTGGCCTCTAAGAGGTGGGAAGTACACGATCTGGGAAGGGGGCACGAAGGGGGCATCCTTCATGTATGGTGCTGGGCTCCAGAAGACTGGGACGACATATGATGGGTAACACCATGGAATATATTCAGAACAGTCAAAAATCGTATTTAGGAAGTATGAAGAGTAAAAGTCCAAAATATTTTGAAATATAACATACCACAGATTACACACATGTAATCCCACTTAACTTTCGATGACATTCTAGTTTATTTAATATGCATTCTATATTACACCCCTGTTATACCCCTAAGGAGGATGTATACGTAGGTCTTTGAATGGCATTTAGAAACGGTACACAATGTTATACGGAAGGGTGTTTTATGTGTGTCAACGTCTTTATTATGAGGAACACAACGTTACCGAGTATATCCTTACTCCTTCATCATTCACCAGATGACATCCATAAAACTCTCTTCCTCTTGCTGTATATGTAAACTACAAGTAAGGGATATGTTGTTGTCAGACTTTCGTCATGTAGGTTTTTCTCTGTCTTAATCCCTACTGTCTCCACATAGGATGATCCACGCTGTCGACTGGAAGCCCACTTTATTGTCTGCTGCTGGGGGAACTCCAGGTAAAGAAATTCTCATTTACAAAATAACACTTTAAATAAACAATTCTTTTGTAACCACAGTGACTAACATGCAGATTCAATATTTTTGTTCAATAAACTGTTTTCATAAATATCACACATGGGCACAGAAACAACCATTGATGGAATGAGCCAGTGGGATTCTATTCGAAATGGCCTCCCATCATCTAGGACGGAGTTCATCTACAACATCGACTACTTTGAATTTCCGGAGGAAGGGCATGCTGCAATTAGGTATTTGAAGGTGTTTTGTACTTCATTTAGGTTATTGGTAAACTGTGAACTGTCTGTACGATTTACATCAATGATTACATCAATATTTCCAGTTAATATCAGTTGCCACTGCACTGATACCCGTGAAGCTCCGGCATAGAATTGGTCTTCAGTAACTCATGCTTGTCGTAAGAGGCGACAAACGGGATCGGGTGATCAGGCTCGCTGACTTGGTTGACACATGTCATCGTATCCCAATTGCGTCGATCGATGCTCATGCTGTTGATCACTGGATTGCCTGGTCCAAATTCGATTACTTACAGATCACCGCCAAATAGCTGGAATATTGCTAAGTGCGGCGTAAAACAACAACAACACCCGAACAACATGCCACTGTCTTCAATACAGTTGTGAACTGTAAAGCAATAAGATGGCAATTTGATTTTGAGGTGTGTTCATGTTGTGTATCAGGGTAGGAGACTATAAGCTGATTCTGGGGTACCCTGGAGATCCTGATGGCTGGCACAAACCCATGAACAGAACTGAAGATGACATCTATGAAGAAACAGTTTACTTCACAGGCGATGACCCAGTTCAAATTTTCAACATTCGAGGTACGGAATTGATTACCGTAAATGTGGAAGGTTATGTATTTTTCAAAGATCTCCGAAGTGGTTAGCAAAAAATACCCTGCACCACTTATATTTACTGCTGCAAACACTACCTCACTGTGTCTTTGGATTGGCTTCGTGTTTATGATCGAACCATAATGGTATACACTAGGGATAGCTATCAATATAGATCGTAGAGATTAAATATCGATTGATTATCGATAAATATCGGAGCCTAAAACTCTTTAGACAAAAATGTCTAAAATACATTTTTAATTTTGCATCACTGGTGACGGGTGACGTTTTTGTATTTATCATAAAACAACATAACATAATTTAGAAGCAGACTATGAATAAAGTTCTAAATTTGTTTTTAGTTTAGAAAATTATACCTGTTTTCTATCATTATCGATAACATAATTTTCATATCGATTTTCATTAATAATCCTCCTATCCACGATATTCCGATTATCGATCATTTTAGCCAGCTCTAGTGTACACTGGATACCTATCAAAATCAACATGTGATTTTCAAGACCTTTAGATTTTCCTCATCCCACCCAGTTCTTTGATCATTTGGAAATTCCAAAATGAACGCAGCATTGTGATGAGTGCTTCCTGCTTGTAAAACTGTTTTTCCCTACACAAATATTCTGACACACATCCAGAGGATCCTACTGAGCACAACAATCTTGCACAAATGATGCCGGATATGGTGGCGAAGTTGCGAGCCAGGTTTGAGGAGTACAAGAAGACTATGGTGCCAGCCAATTATCCCGATGGCGATCCAGCTTCTGACCCAAGAAACTTTGGAGGTGTTTGGAGCCCTGGGTGGTGCTAGTCAGATGTACGTTGTCAAGATATTGATCATGTTGTACTACTAAAATCTGTACTCTGTAAGCATAGTCATAATGAATGAAAATATGTCACAAATCCATATTAATGTTGCTTCATGATGGAAGTATTGTATCAAACCACAGACAGCGAAACGGAAGCCTTAATACAATCTCCAGTTGTAGATTATTGTAATAATTTTGGATAAAAGAATCGTTACCTTATTTAACATATAATAAATATTCCGTGTGTAATCTGTGTTCTGAAATTCATTCTTGATGACTTAACTAATTAAAACTGTGTCTTTGGTTGTATTGGGAGTTATCCATCGTTGGCTACGCAATTTTCACCCTGATACCCACCCCCAAAACCGTTACACGTTGCTCATGAGTAGATTGTCAACAAAAGACAGTAAACAACTAGAATATCACAGATGTGGATTATAAACCGGTATGTAACTAGTATATGGATGAAAAATACTTTGAATGACTTGGGATTCACGTGGAACATTTTTTCGCTTCTGAACTCGTTTAGAAGGTGAAGCCACAAACACTCATAGCTATTTATTCATTTTGACATATTGAAATTCACTTACTAATAATAATTAGTAATTAAATCAATTTATAATTAATTTTATAAATTATAGGTCAAGGTCAAGTCAAGCTATGACACGGGTAGCGAAGATACATAGCGTTCACTGACATGAACAAACCCGGGCCTTGAACTAAAATCATCCGACCATGCACAAAAAAAAGGCTCTACACAGAGTGAATTACCTTATAGTCAAGAAAAGGGAGGTAATCCAGCAGAACCTGACCTAACCGACATTATGAGCGCTCTTCAGCGCATGAGACAAAATTTGAGAATCGCTTGAAAACATCCGGTCAGGAGTTACAAAGCAGCAACAAGAGTACGTAAGTGAATTTGAAACAGTGCGGCAAGAAAACCGTGTGCTCAGAGAAAAGGTTGGTAAGTTAGAAGATTCGCTTAAAAGAAACAATGTGATCATTATGGGAATTCAGGAAAATGAGGGAGAATCGTGGATGGAAGCAGAAGATAAAGTAAGAACCTATCTAGAAAATGAACAAGGAATTGAAAATGCCACGAACGATGAACAGGTTCAGGACACTCCTAGAAACAAGGATAATGGGTCATTCCGCTGATTATCCCTAAAAATAGGGATGGAACTAGCCCACTTTGGGGATAAAAACGTGCGTTTTGCTCGCCCGCGGTCTTCCACTACACTGGCGAGCAATGGTATGTTGACATTTTGCACCACGTGCGTTCACGTGAACACCGAGTTATCCATAGAAACTGGGAATTTACCGCACTTTGGTCGACTTGTCCGAAACAAATATGACCTGCCTCGCCATTTTGCACATTAATGCCCGTCAACATTCATATTAAAAGCTCGTATGTACATTAATGTCACTCACCTAGTTGAACGATGTCTCCCCTCTGCACACAACCCAACACTTCCGCAAAGGGACGTAATGATGAGTCACCCCTCGATTTCAGTAGAATCTACTGCTCCTGGCGTTCTTTGTTACCGCCAGAAGACGATTGCTTGTTGTGCCTGTTTGCCAACATGTGAAACTTGTTTTAAAGTACCACTGATATAGCTACAAGATAACCAGAATTCGACCAGAATAGATACTACGAGTATACTCGTTGAGGCAGTCAGCGTGTTAAAAGATAAGTTTTCCTGTTGACAGCTTATATAACCTGAGTGAGTGAGTGAGTGAGTTATTATTTAACGTCACATCGGCAATATTTCAGCCATATCGTGACGAGAACATTTGATATTTGAAATAAAATATATGTATATTATAAAACACCTGCCGACGAAGGACAGTAAAACAACTAGAGTATCACAGATATACATGTAAAACTAGTAATTTAATCTAAAACATTTTAACTATAGAGGACAACACAATATAAAAATGGGCTATAGATTGCTACCAACTGAAGGTAGATCACCATGCTAGGAACCATGGGGACTTACATTACTTTTGCTACCTGCATGGATCCTAGCTGGATTTACACCATCCCTTCAGCCGCTGGCGATTGTAGGAAAATTTAGCCAACAGTTAAAATAACAAAAATACTACGTTTAAAATGTGATAATTTATATTTTACTTTGAAAGTTTTGGGACTTACGTACCCTCTCAGGAGGACAATAATTTTACGCTACGTCAACCCCCTTTGAGGGTACAGCCACTAACAATCTCAGTGACTAATTTAAATTACCAATAATAAAATATTTATCTATTTACAAATCAGTTAACAAATCTAATTCTTTTAAAAATTCAACTATTAAATGATAATTAACATTATAAAAAAGATCCTTCAATGTTTTGACATTAAAATACTTATCCCTTGTGATGGAATATTCAACACAGTCAAGCAGGACATGCTTGACCGTCATTCTTTCATCACAAGGGATACAAAACGGAGGATCCTCACCTTTTAATAGGTACTCATGAGTATATCTTGTGTGGCCAATACGACATCGTCGTATGATGACCTCTTCAAATCTGGACTGACAACCCAAGTAGGTGTAACCAATATAGGGTTTTATTTCATGTAATTTATTTATACCTACTTGGGTGTCCCACTTCTTCTGCATCAGATCACGGATGTAGGTTCTAATGCTTGCTTTGTAATCAGAGTAAGGAATAAGAAGTGGTGTCACAGATTTGTTGAGTGCTGCCTTTGCAGCAAGATCGGCCATTGTATTCCCAGAAATACCAACGTGACTGGGTAACCAACAGAGGACGATGTCGCATTGGCCAGTTGCAAGATCATTATATAATTCTATAATTTCTATTAAAAGTGGATGTTTACAAGAAATATTTTTAATCGCCTGAAGGCAAGACAGAGAGTCAGAAAAGATTATGTATTGTTTATATTTAGGGTGTCTATTTATATATTTGAGAGCTGTTAGGATTGCGTTTGCTTCAGCTGTGAAAATTGAACTGTCATTGGGTAATCTGGAAGATATTGTTCTGGACCCAATGACAGTGGCACAAGCAACCGCGCCACCATCCTTGGACCCATCTGTAAATAAGGATTTATATGTATTATAGTTATTCTTTAATTGATTATATACTTGTTTATATTGTAAGTCATTACTTTCTGATTTTTTTAAATTTAGTGAGTGTTAGGTCGACTTGTGGCCTAACCAATTGCCAAGGAGGAGAAGAAAGAAGACGGGAAGGAGATATATTCTCCAACTCAATGCCAGCAGCAGAAATATATTGTTGGATTCTTATCCCAAGAGGTGGGACAAGTGAAGGTTTTTTTATTATACAAGTCCTCATAAAGAGGATTAAAAACGCAAGTGTGAGCAGGGTTGGATTCATTAGAATATAACTTTGTGATATATTGTAGGGACAATTTGATACGGCGGAGTTTTAAAGATGGCTCATCGGCCTCAACGTAGAGACTGTCAATGGGAGAGGTTCTGAAAGACCCAAGACAAAGTCTTAGACCCTGGTGATGGATAGAATCAAGTAGTTTGAGGTTGCTTTTACAGGCCCCACCATATACGATAGAGCCGTAATCAAGCTTCGAGCGGACAAGTGATCTGTAAAGGTGTAGGAGCGTAGCTTGATCCCTTCCCCACCTTGAATTAGACACGACTTTCAATAAATCGAGTGCCTTCAGGCATTTAGTTTTCAGGGATTTGATATGCGGAAGAAAAGTTAAATGGGAGTCGAAAATGAGACCTAAGAACTTGGCCTCTTTTACAACCTTGATGGGAGTGCCATTTAAAAACAGTTCTGGGTCTTTATGTGGTTTATATTTACGGCAGAAATGTATGCAATTAGTTTTATATTTAGAAAATTTAAAGCCGTTTTCAAGACACCATTTATTTATTTTGTTTAAACACAACTGTAGTTGCCGTTCAATGGTATGCATATTCTTACCGCGACAAGAAATATTAAAATCATCCACAAAAAGTGATCCATCAATTGAATCATTTAAAACCTTTGACAAACTGTTAATCTTGATACTAAATAAAGTGACAGACAAAATACTGCCTTGAGGGACACCCTGATCCTGATTATAATGGTCAGACAGGGTTGAACCCACTCGGACTTGAAATTGCTTGTCTTTTAAAAACTGTGAAATAAAAAGAGGTAAACGACCCCTTAAACCAAAATCATGTAAATCCTTTAAAATGCCATGCTTCCAGGTGGTATCGTACGCTTTCTCGAGATCAAAGAAGATCGATACAGCATGTTGTTTATTTACTATTGCATTTTTGACAAAGGATTCTAAACGTACCAAATGATCAATGGTACTACGATTTTTCCTAAAACCACATTGAATATTTGTAATGAGGTTATTGGTTTCAAGATACCATGTTAATCGATTGTTTACCATTCGTTCCATGGTTTTACAGACACAACTCGTTAAAGAGATTGGTCTGTAATTAGACGGATCAGTATGATCCCGGCCAGGTTTTGGAATGGGGACTACAATGGCATTACGCCAGGAAGTTGGGAAATTCCCTGTAGTCCATATCATATCAAATATATTGAGCAGTGTTTCCAAACACGATTCGGGCAAATGCTTTAGGAGCTGATAGTGGACATCATCAGCCCCTGTAGCTGTATCATGAGCTTGCTCAAGAGCGGTATGTAGCTCATGGAGTGAAAATAATTCATTATAATCTTCACCATTGTCGGAGTTAAAATTGATTCTTTTCTTCACCTGTTGTTTCTGGTGTTTTTGAAACTCAGGGACATAATTTGATGATGAAGAATGTTTGGCAAGCGTTTCGCCAAGTTTATTTGCTATGTCAGTTTTATGAGTTAAGAGTCTATCGCCATCCTTCAGATGGTGCACAGTAGATTTGGAACCTTTGCCCTTTATTCTTTGGACCATGTTCCACACCTTGGACATAGGTGTACGTGAATTTATTTTGGAAACATAGTTCCTCCAAGACTGACGCTTATTCTGTTTAAATGCGCGTCGAGCCTTGGCATTTAAAATTTTAACTTTGTCTAAATTATGGACAGTAGGATGTTTGCGAAAAAACTTTTCAGCTTTCTTCCTACTTTTTCTGGCCTGTTTACACTCATTAGTAAACCATGGTTTACGAATATGTGGAATTGCAGAGGACTTGGGGATAGTGTGGTCAGCAATGTCATTGAGCATACCGGAAAACAGCTGTATAGGATCTTCAATGTTCTGAAATAGGTCATACTTCAAGCGTTCAACACACAGAGTCTCATACAATGACCAATCAGCCCTGGCGAAGTTCCTTCTTGATAAAGGTGGATCATCACCAGGGTTAATTGTTTTGAGAATGGTTGGGAAATGATCACTCCCACACAGGTCATCATGGACCATCCATTCAAATTCATTATATAACGTTGAGTCGGTGAGTGACAGATCCAGGGAAAAATATGATCCCGTAGCTGGATGTAGGTAAGTGGCTGAGTCGTCATTGAAAATACATAAATTGTTATCGGAAATTAATTCCTCAAGGATTTTACCTTTAGTATTAATGTGGGCACTTCCCCAAAGCGGGTTGTGTCCGTTAAGATCGCCCATGATGAGGCATGGCTTCGGAAGTTGATCATACAGGTTTTGAAGATCTGATTGTTGAATAGTAGAAGAAGGGGGGATATACAAACTGCACAGTGTTAAGGCAATGCTCAAAGTCAGACGAACAGCGACAGCCTGGAGATTGGTATGAAGGGAAACAGGGCTATGGATAATACCCTGCCGTACCAAAATTGAAGCACCTCCAGTTGCTCTTTCTCCTTGAGGAGAGAAACAGTGATAATCAATATATTGTCGTAAATTAAAAGTGTCTGTAGACTTTATATATATGTCTCCTGAAGACATAATGCTGCCGGTCGAAAATCCTGTATCAGTAAGTGTATCTCATTGAAATTATTTTTCAGACCTCTACAATTCCACTGAATTAAAGAGTTATAACTCATGTTGATGGTGGCAGTACTGGGGATCTACTTTTCCAGTCCGAGGCGACTTGCTTCTGTCGCGTGCACGCGGATGAGGGAGATATCCATATCTTCCAGTATCTCATATGTATTATGAACCTCAAGAGAGGAAACATGAGAAGATTCAACATTCTGGAGTGCTCTGATCTTTTTTAGTCTCTTTTTTTCTTTGGCAGTTAACTTTACTGTGTCAGGCTCAGTTTCTGGTTCAGTCTGAGACGAAGATGTAGAAACTGACTGATTTCTCTGGGGGGAGACATCAAGGATAACCTGTTTATCCTTGACCCACGAGATGTCAGTCTGGCACGATATTGAAGAAGTAACAATTCTAGGGGGTGGAGTTGAGGAAGAAATTGCTGCCGAGTAAGTTTTAACTGAAGAAGACGGAGCTGCTGTAGATTGGACAAGTAATTTGGCTTCTGAGTATGTGATGTTTTTGGTATGCTTTATTTTCAAGATTTTTGACTCATATTCAAAAGTTGGACAAGACTTGGAGGAAGCCATATGCTCTCCTTTGCAGTTAGCACATTTCAAATCATGTGTGCACTCGGAGCTGTCATGTGCTCCACTGCAACGGCAACATACTGCCTCCTTGCCACGACAGAACTTGGCCCCATGACCAAACTTTTGACATTTGAAGCATCGAAGCGGATGTGGTACATAAACATCCACGCCGATATTGAAGTATCCTGCTTTGATACATTTTGGTATAACTGGGAAAGAAAAGGTAAATAGATAAGTATGCGTTTTCACAATATTGCCATCTTGAGTTTTCCTTGTGAAACGTTTGACCTGTGTTACTCCTTGGTTTTTCAGTTCTGCAGCTATCTCTTCCTCGCTCATGTCAGTCAGACAACGAGCTAGATCCCTTACAATGCCTCTGCTCGAGTTCAGTGTCTTGTGCACTGAAACAACAACCTGTGTATTAACAAACTGCTGTAAACCAAGCAGATTGACAGATTGCTGCCTCCTTACACATTCCACTAAAATGGAACCGTTTCGAAGGCGTGTGACATTTTTCACTTCTCCGCAGGCACTTTGAATGCCTTTGGAGATAGCAAATGGATTTAATTTCAATGGGTTTCCATCCGAAGATGATATCACAATGAACCGAGGCCAAGCATCTGTAATGTCAGAAGGAACATCTTCATCGGATGAAGAAGAGTCTACATGACGACGTTTATTTGTCTTGCTAGAACCAGAAGAATTTGTTTGAGACATGGTGTGGTAATATAATTCAGCATCCCTGCTCCCCACCCGCCACGGAGTGTCAACAAGGACGATGTCGCAGTGGAAGCCAGCCTGCAACAACAGGGATACAGAGATGTTATACTCCAGCAAATATAGACGTGAAAAGCTATGAGATCCAAAAGAATATGTGTCAGGCTGGTTCGGCCCATAACACTATTCCCAAGAAATATAGATTTTAGAGGTCTTTATAGCCAGATTGGCCCATGAGCCACCGCCTTCTGGCATGGGACTCTAAGCAGTGTAATATTTCAACAATTTGTTCAATAGAATTCGGAAAAGCCAAACCACATAATCACAGAAAAATGTGCAAAATTTCTTACCATGCACAGGGCACGGCGTGACCAGCCGATTGGTAGAACCGGGCCAGTTCTACCACCCGTCTAGGTGAAGTAAGGGGCAAAGTGGTGTGTTGGGCAACAGGAACACCTGGTCCTGGTTCCAGTGCCCTCAACCACCAGCCTCCCGTCCTCCACCGACACAGGGGCGCAACCCACGGCAAACAGGTTGGTGGACCAAATATCCCCCCGGGGTCCACTACGGGGGGTTGAAGGGCTCTTAGCGTGACCCAGCACCCACCACGAGGAGGTGGCCCTTCACGGGTGCCTATATAACCTGAGAAATTTAACATTTTGTATATTTTCTTTTTGATGATTTCCTCAGATTTTAGAAAGCAGCAAATGTAAGATATTCTGACATAATCCTCCTGGAAGGTCACATGGTTTTCTTTATAGAGAATAGCAAAAGTGATAAATATCGAGGTGGCCGTCACTTGGTGCATGCTGCAACTGAATCAGGATTGTGGCAAGTTAGTATTATGGAGTCATACCTAGAACAAGCATTTCACATCACTTGGTGGATGCTGCAACTGAATCAGGATTGTGGCTAGTTAGTATTATGAAGTCAAAACCTAGAACAAGCATTTCACAATTACTGTCATGAATATATTTTTAAACCATGAAATACACAATGCCATTTCAGAAAGTGGTCAAATGTAACATATGTTATATTTGGGATTACACTTTCTTAGTAAAGTACAGATTCTAGTACTTTTTGGTTGAGTCCCATTCGGGATTCGAACCCACACCCTCAGAGTCAGGCACCTAATCGCCAGCACACAAAGTCAGACGCCTAGACCGCTCAGCCACAATATATGAATGAAGATACATTATTATTGGTTGATGTTGTTGACCAACTACCATTGTTTGTTTTGTCAGTCAGAGCAGACAATATCTGACGCGCGATCATGAAGGTAAAGATCAGAATAAAGAGGAACACAATTGGCGTTCATAAGAATTTTTGACTAAATATTACATGGTTTTCACAAGCACTCTACCAGGAAAAGTCCCACACGTTGCACCTGTAACGACAGCACTCCAAATCAAGTCGTCCACAAAACACATGGGAACTTATATTTCGTAATAAATTCAGAACACATTTGTTCCAATGTTATTCTGAGAAAAAGCTTCAAACAAAGTAGTCATAGTGTTACATGTTGATTCTCGAGTTGAAACTAAAATGTTAAAGGTGATCCCAGCATACGGCCATGAAAGAACTCGATTTGAAACAACAAAAGAAGTGTGCTGTAATTATCACTTGTATTCCAAAGTCCATGTAGTACACCGTTCACAAATCACTAATAATACATGAAAGACAGAGAATGCCCCGGAATATAGAGTGATCACACAAAATGCTGGTCGTGTTCCTTGGGTTGCATCCCGATCCAGATCATTCTGTCTGAATCTGGAATAGGTCTATATATATCACATCACTGGCCTTTACTGAATCTACAGCTACAATGTATAACAATTAAAACATTGCTGCACAACGTATAACACCGACTTATATCAATAGAATCCGATTGAGGAATAACATTTGAAAACATATTGTCTGTTTAGCCAGTTATATATCTTAAATGATTAAAAACGTTTGACATATATTACGCAGTTTCAAATGTTAAATATGGTGGCGGCCAACAAACTCTCCTCTAACTGTACAGAACATAAATTGGATCTAAACTGGATTATGGCTGTTTTATATACGGTTCGTGTATTCACGTTTTACGCCATTATCACAAAGCAACTGTTATTATAGCATTTGTTAATTTTAAGAAAGCGTTTGACTCTGTGGACCATGTTAAGTTGCTTAAATGTCTTGGAAAACTTTGTTTAAACGGCAAAATTGACAGAATGAGACTAAATCCATGTATTCTAACTTGATAGCTTATGTTAAATGTAAAGATGGCCTGACTGATTTCTTTGATTGTCCTGTTGGAATTACACACGGTTGTGTTCTTAGTCCGAATCTCCTTCTTTATTAATGAATTGTCTCATAAAATACATGAATTGGGGAAACATTCAATTGTTTCCTGACATTGTTGAAATTTACTGTTGCTCTTTGCTGATCATGTGATATTAGTTTCTGATTCAGTTGTTGGATTATAAAATTAAATTAATATTTTAGCCTCTTATAGTGACGAATGTGGTCTTGCTGTTAATATGAACAAAACTAAAAGTGTTGTATTTCGTAGAAATGGACCCCTCTCTGAAAAAGAAATCTGGTTTTACAAAGGGGAAAAGCATTTCTATAGTATTTTGATTTGGGGATACATTAGATTACATGTTGTGGAAAAAGTACACGTACTTGCTTGTTTAAGGTTCTTAAATGTTTGATTGACTACAGCAAATGCCATGGTTTATGGAAAATGTGGACGCTATACGTGATTACTAACGTAAAATGTGTTCGATTCTGGATTAGAATTTTAAGAATGCCAGCACATCGGCTTCCCAAACTTGCTTCCAACATGCTACTGCACTATGATGATCTTGGTAAAGTCACATGAGTTTCTTATATCCGTATGCTACAATTCTCTCTTGGATTTGGACATATATGGCTGCCACTATCTGTGGAAAATGTAAATATGTTTATCACCGATTTTCGACAATGTTTGATTGATAACTTTCGGCAAGACAGGATGTCTACTTTAAGTGACAGTTCAAGTTATGCCCCCTATGTCTATTCTAAAGATACCTTAAAACTGGAAAAATATTATCCTGTCTTCAAGCTTAAAATATTAGAAATATAGTTGTTCGATTTAGACTTGGTCTTACAAATCTAATGATCAATAAAGGTAGAAAACATGATTTAGAAACGTCTTTACGATTGTGCTCTTTGTGTTGTTCTGGAGTTGAAGATGATTTCCATTTTATGTTTTGGTACCCAACGTTTAAGTCATTACGAATATAACATGTTGGCAAACATTATTGCCCAAATCATTTCAGATATAGCGTTTTCGCTAATCTATTGGCTACAAAAAATTAAGCAATTTGCATTGTATGTACATCACGCACTGAAACTTTGAAATTGTACTGTATGATTATTCTACCAGCATACTGAATGTTAATATCCATGTGTTAAATAATTGAATGGATGATACAGCAAAATAAGTAAGTTTACATATTGTATTTATGACTTGTATATAGGCCAATGGCCTTTCATGCAATAAACGCTTTGACTTTGAGCTTGACACTATACACCATCAAGGTCGCGGATGCATTTTGAACTATCCCTGTTGAAAGACTCTATGTTGAAGCCAATGGAGCCTTTGTTGATATCGGAAGGGTAAAACTGTCACTCCGAAAGGTTGAATTCCAAACAACCCAGTCTTGTTTTTAATCCTGTTCATGAAGATCTGCACAATTCGAAATATTTTATACCGCCTCTTGGAATAAGAGTGAGTGAGTGAGTTAAGATTTAAAGTCACATCGGCAATATTTCAGCCATATCGTGACTAAAACTAGTTCTAAGTTCATAATACATACATATAATAATATATAAAACCCTGTCGACGAAGGACAGTAAAACCACTAGATTATCACAGATTGAGTTACAACTAGCAACATATATCTTTAAAAGTAAAACATTATTTTTGGACAATACAATGTAAAAATGGGCTATAGGTCGCTCTTGGAATAAGAATTTAACATTTTTGCTGCATTTTTGAGCTCGGAAATAATTTCCCTTCCGCCTGATTTCTTCTCCCCTTTGGCAATTGGCCAGGGCAAAGGTGAATTTGATCTTATCTAAATTGTAGTATTCTGACACAGATCAAATATAATATCAACAAGAATATATTGAGTTGAGGAGGACTTACGATACGTATAAATCTGTATTTACAGATGGATCCAAGGATGCATTATAATCTTGATTCTGACCAATACGACATCGTCTTTTGTGAGTTGACCAGCCATTTTGGAATCACCTAAGACAATGGCGGAATCTACTGCTAAGGCTGCACTCAGCAAGTGACTCTACTTCTCATACCTTACGGTGATAATAAACCTGTTATTAGAAGTTGCATCCCTGATTTTATGACCACAACATATACACTCAGGAGTTTTTCCATCACAGCAGAGAGCTATTTGTATTGTGAGGATAGTCCATTTTGTATCCTTTGCAAAAGAAAGGATCTCGTACAGTCCTGCTTGACTGTATTTATCTTTCCATCAGAAGGGATAGCTATTTCAAATTAGTATCTGTGATTGAAACTAATGTTTTTTTAACCATTCATATTTTTGAAGGAGATTAAGCTTATTGATACATTTTGATTATACATAGCTAGGTCTTATATTGGTAGTAATAACAAATAGCAATTTTCAAGCAAAATCATGAAGGGGAACACCGGAAATGGGCTTCATACATTTTACCCATCAACTAACTGAGATTGTTTGTGCCTGTGTCCTCGATAGGGGCTAAAGTAGTGTAAAGATATTGCAACCAAAGATTCAATCGCACTCACGTTTTTTTGAATTTATTGTTTTGCTGAACTTCCATGTACTCGCCAGCAGCAACAGAGATGGTGCAAATCCGATGCAGGAAGCAGAAGTATCGTAAGTCCCCACTGTTCCCATCATGGAACTTTTGTTGAAGGTGATCTTTAAACCGATTTTGTTTTGCGTTTTTGAAATGTTTTT